AAACAGACATAGATGACATTTTAGTTTGGGGTACAACAACTGCCAATCATGATGAAAGGTTGAAGGCTACACTCAAAAAATGTGAAGAAATAAATCTTACACTCAACAAGGAAAAATGTGAGTTTGGTGTCACAAAAATCGGGTACCTGGGAAATATTCTCACACCAGAAGGAGTACAACTGGATCCAGAAAAGATTCGAGCTATAACAGAGATGTCGCCACCAACAGACAAGCAAGGAATAATGCGATTACTGGGTACAGTAAATTACCTTGGTAAATTTGTGCCTAACCTTGCAACTATAACAGAGCCAATTAGAAGCATACTGAAAAAGAATATAGAGTTCCACTGGTCAGAAAGTCAGCAAAATTCATTTGAGGCAATAAAGAAAATCCTAACAGAACAACCAGTCCCTGTGTTAAAATACTATGATGTGACTAAACCAGTAACTGTTAGTTGTGATGCATCCAAATTTGGCCTAGGAGCTGTATTGCTGCAGGAAAACAGACCAGTAGCTTATGCATCTCAATCAATGACTGACGATGAGACCAGATATGCTCAAATTGAAAAGGAGCTATTGGCCGTAATGTTTGGTCTGGAGAGATTTAACCAGTACACTTATGGTAAGACAATCCATGTTGAGTCTGATCACAAACCCTTGGAATCCATCATGAAGAAACCACTTGCAGGAGCACCAGCAAGACTGCAGCGAATGCTTCTCAGACTGCAGAAATATGACATATCACTGAGATACAAACCAGGGAAAGAACTAGTCACAGCTGATGGATGAAGAATTGTCCTACGTCGTGCATCATGTCATGTCAAATCTGCCAGTATCAGATGAAAAGTTGCAGATAATTAAAGACGAAACAACAAAAGATGTCTCTCTCAAACATCTTACATCTGTACTAATGAATGGTTGGCCAAAGAACAAGTCACAACTCCATGTCAGTATTAAAGAATACTGGAAGCACCAAGATGAACTGACCATTATGGATGAAGTGATATTCAAAGGAGAAAGAATACTGATTCCACATTCTTTAAGACAAGAAATGTTGAAATTAGTACATATAGGTCATATGGGGATAGAGAAGTCAAAGCAACGAGCAAGAGACATTCTGTTCTGGCCTAATATGAACACACAAATTGTGGACATGGTATCAAAATGTAGTATTTGTCTGGAATATCGCAAATCAAACCAGAAAGAACCAATGATACCAACACCAATTCCAGATGGTCCATGGCAAACTGTAGCAACTGACCTGTTTATGCTAGATAACACTAACTATGTGGTTGTGGCTGACTACTATTCCAAGTTTTTTGAAGTTATGAAACTTGAGAATACTCGCAGTAGCACAGTTGTAAACTACACCAAGTCCATCTTCTCAAGGCATGAAGTACCATTTGAAGTCAGAAGTGACAATGGACCACAATACACTGCAACTGAATATCAGCAGTTTGCTAAAGAATGTGGCTTCAAACTTGTAACAACTAGCCCATACATGAGCCAATCAAACGGTTTGGCAAAGAGAACAGTACAAACCATTAAAAATCTACTCAAGAAAGCACGAGATGATGGGAAAGACCCTTACCTCAGTATACTGGAGTATAGAAATACACCAATTAATGACATCGGATCACCAGCACAAATTCTAATGAGTCGGAGGCTGAGATCAACATTACTAACGACACAGATGCACCTAAAACCAAACGTAATAGAACCATCCACCCTCAAAGAAAAACTGAAAGTCAGACAAGATCAGCAGAAAATGGTTTATGATCGCCATGCTAAACCCCTACCTAGCTTAAGCAAAGGAGAAACCATTCGCGTTCAACAGGGAGGAAGATGGGTGACAGCAAAGGTATCTGGACATGCCAAAACACCTAGATCATACAACATTGAAACTGCAGATGGAAAGCACTATCGTCGCAACAGAAGACATCTAATGCAAACAAATGAACAACATTATTTCGTAGATGATAGTGACACAGAAGAAGAAACAGAAGTCATACCAACTCGACCAATTAATGAAAGGACAACAGTGACAGCGGCAACAGTGCCTAATAATGCCCCTGTACCTGAAGTGAAAACAACTAGAAGTGGAAGAGTTGTCAGAAAACCAGACAGATACCAATCTTCTGTGTGATGGAATAAATACAAACAAGATCACAGGGCAGAATAATCCCTGTTTTTTAATTCTCTCATATCTATTGAATAGGATAGTCTACCCTATTTCAATATAGTTATAGACAAGTAGTATTAATTAGTTAGATAAAGTTTAAATTGATGATAACTGTGAACAGAACAATATGTGTGAACTGATATGCATTCAAGTAGAACAATAGAGTAATTAACTCTCACAATACAAAGAACTTTATAATGTAAAGAACTGAACTATAACATGCACTAGCGTCGTTTTGATTTTTTAAATATTTGTCTCACTCATATTTTAACAATCTAAAAAAGGGAGATGTCATGATATGTAATCAACAAAGCATGTTAATTATCAACATGAGGCAATTGACCCTGTACACACAGGAAGTCCTCATTATGCAAATTATGTAACCTTGTTTACTGATACTTGTTTGGAGTTGAATAAAGCAGTTCTTAGTAGTAGTAGCTAGAGACAGTGTCTTTGTCAATTACTAAACATAACAGTTTCCATGGACTTCATTTTTATTTGCGAAGAGAATGTTTCACTCCTTCACTTTTATATGCGGCAAAATACGTTTATTTTGTTTTTAACATGTCGAAAATGCAGCGTAAATGCAAAGTAAAACGAATTGTACATGTTAGAGCATTCAAAGCTGTAGAATTGAGATGATTCATTGGTTATTTTGGCATAAAAATGGATCGATCAGGCACAGAGATTTCAAATTTTCCGGGCAGCTCCCAGTTATGTTTTCTTCTTTTTGCATACTTCTTTATATATATAGATATAGCAGTTTAAG